ATTCCACATAATACGACTTATAAATTGATCGTACACTTTTCATAGCGGCCAATTTTCGCCGAATAAAAATATAATGTGCGCGCTTCCGTCTATTTTAGTGTTTATTTGCTGTTTCTGTTTGTGGAATATAAGAAGCTTGTGGTGCGTGTAAGATAATTTTATGTTTATGCTGAAGAATTTGAAATGAATGCACACCACTTGTAAGGCATTACAACATGTCAAATGTGACCTTTCAGTTCTTCGCCTACCATTTTCGGTCGAATTAGTATTTGATTTCACTCATCAAAATCGAATAATAAGACGCAAACATGTACCGCAATTGCGCTCTCTATTACTGCCTCAAAATCACCTAATAAACTTATGAAGACCACATAAGCACATATCACATATACACTTTGAGCCAAAAGAAAAAATGGGCCGTTCGGGCGTCTGATGTACACTCTAAACGTAATCTATTCTTAGCGGGGTTTTTTTTCTCAAACGTAGTCATTTTTAATATCATATTCCACACCATTGTTCGGTTTTGTTTGCGTCTTTTTGCGCAAATCCAGTGTAATGCAAACGCTTTTCACTCGAGATGAATGACACTCATATGAGCAACAACAAAAAAACTAGCTATGAATTTCTACATCTTTGTAAACTGAAACCATTTGTTATTGTTGTTGTTGTTATTATTATTTGATGGTTTTTTACATCACTGGCTGTTGTCATTCCCATTCAAATGAATACAGGCTTATCGATTCGAAAATATTCTTTGTTCTTTTACTTGATCGCACGTCTATGTGTTTGTCATTTTTTTTATTTTCGAAACGGTTTTTGAGTGCGTTCAACATTATTACTTTGTTAGCCATGTTAAAAATTCAGAAATGAGTAAATAAGTAGATAATAAACACCAGCCTATAGTATTTGATTTCCTATTGTATGTCTCTGTGTGTGTCGATATAAGGGTTCTCATTACGTTTCATGGAAATTATTCACACAACAAAACCGAACCAGAACATTTTTTTGTTTCTTCCATCCAAATGTAAAGAATAAGTAATATGCAAAAGGAAACAAGAGCCTTGTAAAGTACAATTGGAAAATAGAATGGTATTGAATTACAGTATGTTTTTACTTAATGCGCACAAGTATGATACAACTATCCGTAATCAAATGTAGTGTTTGTATATTTTCTTCTTATTGCTTAGTGTGTTCGTTTGCAAGACGAAGAGTCTTTTCTTTCGTTAAAATTTTTAGCACCGATATGGTGGTACCGTTTTGTTATGTCCTCTGTCATTCTTGTTATAGGCAATTCAGACGGTATTAATGTATATATGGTTGCAGATTTTCCGTACGGCGTCAATCACCCCATTGCCATTCCTAATACAGACATTAGACTCAAGATCCGCATTAATGCACGGTCACTAAACACACGCATAAACATTTTCCTCGAATAAGAAACCTTGTGTGTGTGATTACGTTCTTCATTGGCGAAACATGTTATTAACAAGACGGTTGATTATTGTCAAAAATCTAAATGATGGAGAGTTATTTTTTTTTTGTTTCTCCTCTCATTATTGCAGTTGATTGCCAACTATGAAATAGTACTACTACCGTTTCCAGCTGCAAATGACAAATACACTTCATTATTGTCCTCTATCATCAAATCACTTCCTTTTCCACCGTGGTTGTTGCTGTTGTTGTTACACAACGACCTATAATTGGACTTCTTTTGGGATTAGTTTTTACTTAGAAACGATTCACCCTGAAATTGAAATTCCTTATCGATTTTCACGTCTTGCGTCCGAAATGAAAAGGGAAAAAAGTCAAGGGAAGGAAAAAAAACGAACGATAATGAGCCAACATTCGAATTCGGTTGCTAATTTCACTGAACTGTTCATCTGTGACACATAAATATCATCGTCGCTCATGTATATACTTTGAAATGTCAGATAAAAAAGCCGAACCACCGTACAAAAACCATTGAATGTTTGGCACAAAGTAAAAAAGTTATGGCAACAATGTCATTATATCGGCTACATCTTTCAAAGTAGCAAAAAGCAATTGACGTGTTCGGACGTTGTCTCTTTTTTTGGTTCGGACACTGTTGCCTATGAGAGGCAATGCATCATGATCGTCTTCTTCGCTTTTGTCTCTCTATCATGTGTCTTTAATTTTTGATTGATGATTCAGTGTACGCGCGCTTGGGAACGAAAATTGAACACTCAATACGTACCAAACATTGCACGGACGACTGAATCCAAAAGACAGGTATATATGTACGAAATGAACTCATAACGGGCTACGGGTTTTTCGTTCGTTATAATATAATTTTACACAAACTTTAAAATTGAAAACGAGAAATAAATCCTTTTGGTTGGTACCTTTATATAGACGATTGATGAAGTAGTTTGTTTCGAAAATTAAAAGGATGAAATGCATGTGTAGCATTGAAATGACGGTGCTTTCAATGGAATAACACTCAATCAGAAAGTAATATTTACTTTTTTGATGGAGAGTTACATCGACAGAGTGCCTTTAAGTTGATAAATACTCTGGCGAATAAAGAAATAAAACGAGCGACTGAAGAATGAATCGGATTTTTTTCCTCCAAGTATTAGATTAAGGGTACAGATAATGTAAGGATGTTTTTTTTTTATTTCATGTGCATTGCCGTCGAATAAAGTCGAAGAATAGAAAGACAGCACATATGAACAACAGAACAGAATGAAGAGAAAAAAAAACTCAAATTAAATACACACATAAAAAAGTTGATGATCGACGGGCGAGAGAGTAATCACAAGAATGAAACAAACAAACTAAAACTGTAAATAATAAAAGATGAAGATAATAAAATAGGCCTTGATACTGTATCTGTGCTTCTTTCAACATTCAATTCTACGACCCAAAATCACAACAGCGTCTTTTGAAGCGAGTAAGAGAGAGAGGGAGAGCGAGAGAGAGAGAGAGAGAGAGTAAAAAGGAATCTCGAAAAATGTGTTGCGTTTTTTTTCGCTCCGTGATCTTTTGATTTCAATGCACTCATGAACTTGAACACATTCAAATTTCATGTTTAATTTTTCTCGTTTCTTTTTTAAATGTCTATATTATGTGACCTATTCATTATCGGAATGTATGCATTCTTCTTTCGGTTCTCTTTCTCTTACTCTCTGTTTGAGATTTCTTTAAGATATCGCACGTGCACACAGCTGTGCATCTAATCGCATATTGACGATGTTTGTACATTGGATACACAATTGCAAACGATTCCTTTCCAAATTTATTCTTCTCGGTTTTCGTCGTATCGTCTGTGAGAACAATATATTTCATGTGAAAATATTGAACTGTTTCTTTAAATTTGTGTTTTTTTTTTATTTCATTTGGTAATTGTATTAAAAACATTTATATAGATGATTTCAAATAGCAGATAATTTCCGTTCGTCGAATGACAAAAACTGTTCTCGTTAGTTTCTCTCTCATTGTATATCGATTTGTGTATGTTTTGTGAACATGTTTTTGACTTGAAAAAAAAAAACTCTTTGACAGTCGAAGATAAAAAAAAAATACTTCAATATGGCATTCTTTTCGGAGTAGAGAATGTTTTGCAACGGAATGGAGTTTAAGCCATAATTTTCGTCTTAAAAATTTGTAATTTAATATATTTCACATATTGGCCTCAGATTCGTTTTTTTTATATATTGCATTCGACTGAACTAACAGCAAAATTTCCATTGAAGCATTCAATGCTCATTCGTTTTTATTAAAATACACAAAAAACCTGGTCGTAATAGTGTTTTTTTCTCTTTCTTACATCAGATTATGCTCATTTTTTTTTCTCTTCGTCGATGTTGTTAGTCTTCTCTTCAGGTTTTTTAAAATTCACATAAAGCACAATGAAAATACACAAGGTTCTACTTCCTGCTGTGATTTTACAACAAATGAAAATTAAACGAAGGCAAACCGATGCGACGAGGAGAGAGATGAAAAAAACGCACTACGCTACGAGTAGAATAACATATCAATACCTGTTGATGTGAACAAACGAAGATGTAAATCCTTACGTACTAATTGATCGTTGGACCCTACCCAAGCATAACGCGTTTGTTCAAATCTCTTGTTTTCTTCAAACATTCATGCGGCAATAAGATAAATGTATTTATACATTCTCTCTCTCTCTCTCTGTCCATTCTGTTAATATAAAAGTTGATAAAAAAAAGTCGAGAGGATACAACAAACGAATTCGACAACAACACCAAATGATGATGCTTATAAAATATATCTATTCAATATAATTAATAGCGGATTGAAAATTTGTAAGTGTGGAAATTTTTCAATTGTCTGTTGCAGTTCGTGTCTTTGGACTTAGCATCTGGTGCCGGTTCGTTCATTGAATACGGTCATCGATTCATTGTATTTTATGATATTTCTTAGAGGACTGTCCACTTCCATTGAGTGTTAGAATCAAACATGAGTATCTGCATTATGTTAAATTGTTCAATTGTCACTATATTCTTCTTTCTCTTCTATTGAATTTCCGATAAATTATGGTAATCACACATTGGATTGTGAATGATCGTAAGAATGCTGTACACTTTGTCTTATTTTTTTTCTCGAATGTTTTCAATGACCCGCTGTAAATACATAAAATTCCGTGAATTTTTTTCTCATTCTTTCATCAACTCTCATCGTTCATTTGCCTTAAGACAGAAATATCTCACACATTTTCATTAATCCAAACGAAGAAAAAAAAACTTCAATATGATTAATCCAACATGTTAATTGCTGAGTAATCCGTATGATTGTAAATAATTTGTTGCTTTGTAACACTTCAAGTGAATTGTTGTTAATTGATTGTAATAAAATAGACCTGTTTAACATGACCAGTTTTCAAATCGGTCGTGATTGAATCAAAGTTTTCCGATCGAAAACAAAACAACAGAACAGTCTGCAAGTCGACAATGACACATTTCGAAAGTTCATTGCTCAACCAATATTTTTTTGTTTCATATTCGATCTGCCTAATGGCAAATTTATCTGGTAATTTCATTTGCATTTGCAATCACCATTAATTTGAACATCATATACCAGCGGGAGTGTCATCGATTAGGTAAACGAGTGACTTTTTGTCATGCCATCATACTCGTTTTGTGCCACGATTGATTGGACTAAATTAGAGTCTATCACACTTCAAACAGTGTGATAACGTGTTCGATGAAATGTTCAACGATGATTTAAAAAAGACGAAGAAAAAATCAAGAAATAGTAAAAATTGATTGCATTCATAACGGTTTCAATATTATAATGATATCCAGTCACACACAAATATCACGAAATCTGACAAAATAAAACAGATGAAATAAACTGAATGCAAATCTATCGATAGTTTACAATCAAATGAACACTGACAATAAATCAAAATCATATTTCCTCTTTCTGTCGTGCTCACGCTCGTCTTTTTTCACAAAATTATCAACATATATATTTTTTTCGTTCTTCGTTTTCTCATTTCTCATCGTTCGGCGTGCATTATTGTTATTATTTTATGCTTTTTTATTAAGTTCGACACAATCATTTTGAATTTCGTAGAAGTTGAAACGTGTTACCTTAATTCACAAACAATGCGCACGTCAAAAAGCCGAAAAAAATAATATATATATATGTATGTATAACGACTGAAAAGAAAAGAACGAACCAAATCGATGTGATTTCGTGAATTAGTGAATAATCGTGAACAATTTGCCTATATTTAAATTACAAAGGCATTCTGGCTCTTTATTTTTCTCTCAGCCACTCACTCACTCACTCACTCACAGGGTTCGATCGATGTATGAGAGACATATTCACGAAACATAACATGTTTAATGTGAAACGAATCGAAATTTATATGTTAAAGTGTCTTGTCTTGCATTTTAATCGGTTAGTCAATTGCGTACACGTACACACGCCAATCGAACACACTCAATTCATTCCATAATTCTTTATTATTTTGTTAGTGCTGTTGTTGTTGTTTTTTTTTTTGTCATAATACACAATTGATACTTTTGAATCAAATTTTTGGTTTTGGTTCAAGTCATTTTTTATGTTATGTGGCTTTTCTTAATTTTTGGAGCCGCCAATCAAACCATTGAATTCAGGGTAAATATACGTGGGCTGAGGTGTTTTGTATATATATATGATTTCTCATTTTGTTGTATGTCGAAACAAAACATTCGAAAGCAAAAAAAGGCGAACCGCAATGAAAAAATAAAACAAATAACAAGCACATTTCTTTCGTTTCCTTGGAAGAGAACGATCATTGATTGATTCATGATTGTGGCGGTGTGGAGCAAAAAAACAACAACAACAACAACTTTGCATTAAGTGTTATGGTCGTTTTTTATGTATATGAGTCGGGTGTTCGGGTCATGTTTGATGGCGAAAATTACAAGCACATTCTTGTTTCATTTTTTGTCTTGTATTTTGCATCGAAAAAATGCCTGGATGCGCCTCTATTCCACTTACATTTTCTAATAAATGACACATCATTTGTAATAAATCGGCAAAGACAGTTCCCATACCAAAAAAAAAGAACACTGAATTCCAAGTGATTTCTCCACCTCTTTCGTAGTATATTATAAGCGATATACGGTGAATATATGTGCAATTAATATTTATTTCTACATGAAATCGCACCTTTAGAATAAACGAAACGAACAAGAAAAAAAACCTCACAAAAAATGATAAAGCTTTTATAATAATCATATTATTTACTTCTCTTTCTCTCTCTTATTGCAGATCTGAAAAAGCAGTTCAAAATTTCACCGCAATCGATTCGCGTCGAGGCTAATGGACGTGCTGAAATATCGTGTAGCCCGCCTAATGGTGTGCCAGCCCCGAAGATTCAATGGCTGAAAAATGGATCACCTCTCATACAGGATGCATCGGTGTTGATGACCGTCGAGGGAAGCGTTCTGATTACGCATGCATCAATGACGGTATGATTGATTCGATGCCATTAACATTGATTACCACCATCCTCCCTTCACATTTTATTTTTATCGCCTATAATCAAACTCGATATACGTGTGCATGCTCACAAAAAGATGTTCACGCCAACCGTTGAACTCTCGTTGTGCAGCAGCACCAAACTAATTCATTCTCTTTGGCAGAATGAATAAAAAATCGCCAATTTTATATTAAACTTTATTCTCATGTACTCTTGTTAATTTCGTTTGCTGATGTCGTTGTCTTTTTTCTTGTATGTTTCGTTGTTGGTTGGTTTAGGACATGGCAAATTACACATGCGTTGCTGAGAACATCGCCGGAAAAAGATTATCTGATCCAGTTTCATTAACCGTATATGGTAAGTTTAGTTCGTTTAGTCGATTCAGTTTGAATTTCAAATTCAATATTAGTGTTCATTTGATGCCCAATGCCATTCAATACTATGGGCTGTGGAATTAATGCCACGAATTGTGGGCTGTGGAATTAAATGGGAATTAAATCGGCTCGCGACAAGCAATAATACTGTGCGTTTTTTTGCAGTCTCTTTTTTTCGATTCATTTCGATGATACATTCGCTCAATTTAATTCGCAGAATTTAAACAAATCAAAAATTCGTGGATGCAAATTTAATTTAAAGATGAGAGTTTCAAATGCCGATTTCACGGTATTTATTCGAGATTTTTTTTTTCTCTTTCCCCTATTCTTACTATTGGAGATTTTGGTCGGACTTCTGAACACAAAACCATTTAAATGATATGGTGTTTTTGTTGCAAATACAGACTTCTTTATGTCTCAAACGAATGATATGCACTGACTCACGCAGTGCTTTTTCGTATCACATCCCGATGGGTAAATGAATCGCGCAAGGGCCTGAAACCATTCGATTAGGTGACTTCTTGATTTCGTCTGGCGAACTCTGTATCAATCGATGGTATTTTTGCGTGTGTGCGTTTTAACAGTAGTTCAGTTATATGCACATACTCTCACTCAATATATCTATAAAATGTGTATACATTAAGTACTGAATAAAAGATGAAACAAAAGAAATTCAACAACAACAAAAAAACAGCAGAGCAAATATTAATTGAGGCATATGGTTATCATTGTGTGCGGTCCATTGAAATCGTAGCTCTTTTTTCTCTCTTTCTCTTGCTGCATACATAGTCTGTTTTGTTGGCGTTTTCATTGGAAATCAATGAACGAAACACAAGAAGTGAGGCAATAAAAAAAAATTCAATGTTAAAAAAATTCAAGAACAGACGAATAAAAAAAGATTCAACTGAGCCTCGCTTAGTTTCACTACTTACATTAAAACAACTACATAATATTAATCCTCTATCGATTTACAATCTGGCTGATTTTTTTTCACTTACTCTTTCTCATTTTGTTCTTGATTCTTTCATTAAAATACATTTCATATACTTATTAATCCAGCGAGGGAGGGATAGAGAGAGAGAGAGAATAACGCCCAAGCAAAAATACAGTAAAAAAGACTAATGAAGTTCCATGCGACTGCTCCTATACTTCATCATGATAGAAATTCAAATGCCATACTAATCTGTTTCTTTTGCTTTGGAATGCACAACCAAAATGCGGACGCATTAAAAAAATTCAAAACATTTGCCGCACATATTCTCTTTGTTTTCTATGCAAAAATCTACCAAATGCATAGAAAATAAACGGCAACAGACGACGAAGAAGAATGGAGGAATTCAGCATTTATGTCACCATTCTTTTTCTTGATTGAGCTACAATTTATAGCAAAATTCGAGCGGACGAGAGAAAGAAAAAATCTAAATTCTCGAAGACTTTCAATAAATAAGTAAATCGATGTGATGCAAGTCGCACCCATTCAAAACACTAATCTCAATGGCATCTCCAATTTATTTAAATATTCTTCATTTATTTTATAAGTTCGTGCAATTATTTTCATGATAGCCTTCATTATACTTCGAAGCGATGCTGGAGAATTTTCAATGTGTGTTTGTGTGTATTTTTTGCTCACTCCTTGCAATCTTCAGTGAAAAATTGAATCAGCGCAATGAGGCGTGTATATGTGTTGCTCGAAACAAACAAATAGCAATCGTTTAGAAAACATAGAAGAAAAAAACATACAACATAGTTTTGAAGCGATCAAACGACAGAGAAGACGTGAAGAGAGAGAGAGAGAGAGAGAGAGAGAGAGAGAGAGAGAGAAATTAAACCAAGAGAAATGTCGAAACATTGACGACAACTCGAACAAGAGAAACAATACAAATTATGCATAAACGAAATAGCACATATGGATGCGCGCTTGCAAGCAATTGAAATATTCACAGTATGTAGTACACAAACTGGCGCACAAACACGCTTTACGGAAAGTATAAGTGGCGACAGCCTGATACACACGAAAAAAAAGAGTGTATACATCGTCATACAAAAAGGAAAATCCGTTTGAATCCCGTGCATATAATGCAATTTAGAAGTATATGCTACGCTTGGTGTAAATGGCATTGCACACAGTACAGTTCAGCGCACTGTCGATCGGTCGTTTTGCTTACCATCATTTTGTTTGTAGCGATGATGCATTTTGTCAAGAAAATTGCACACGCGCTGACTAAACCATAGACAATTTATGTGAAACATTATTGATATTAGTTCCGAACGACGATTAAATGTGAGCAACATGACGAGAGAAAAAAATTGCAAACACAGCGCAGCAAGCACAACGATCGATCGAAGAATGGAAAAACTCCGGACAGGAATTAAAATGTATAAATTGTGTCTTTTCATGTCGTTAATGTGTAAATGCGCGCGCGAAATCACGAAAGAGAATAAAAAAAAATTTACCTTTTCTTACCGTTCTTCACAAACAATCTGTTTTCTCTTCAAATAAACCACAGAGAAAATACGATGGAAGTAAAAAAAAATACGGCAGAAATAAAACAACAAAATACCACGCGAAAGCAAAAATGTAACGGCGTATATGCGAGACAGAAAATTACGTGTAGATTGAAGTAAATCAAAACATCCAGCTAAATCGCCATATATATTCAAAATGTCAGATAAATCGGCACACACACATTCATTTAAGACAAAACGACCAATTCACAGCACACGATTCACAACAGAACAATTTAGTTATGCAAAAATTGTAACTCGTCTTTTCGCCGTATTTTCTCTGGCACACAAATTCAACGCAAAATGTAGATTTTTCCACAGTTTAAAGAGAATTTCTTAATTTACTTGTTCCCATAAAAATCAGTTTCGAACATGCACATTCACGCACATAACGATATATTTTTGTTGAAAATAAATAATGAGATATGCAATGTGATTCGAGTAAAATGTGAACCAAGGAATGAGAACCTATATATTATTTGAAAATAAAGAAAGAGAGAGAGAGAGAGTGAGAGATGGCTAAAATAGTCACGGCAAACAGCACAGAGGCCAACATTGAGTTATTTGACACGAATCGATGTAGTATTTTTGGCCCTGTCTTGTCGTTTTGTCTGTCTGTTTTTCTCTCACCGTCATGTATGTTTAATGGTTGGTGTCACTCAGACGCATGTTTTAGTGTCCATTTATTGAAAAAACAAAACAAAAAACCAATGAATACAAATATTGACATTTTGCCGAGAATTTTACTACAAAAATGTTTGTCTTTGATTTTTTTTGCGCGCAAATGGCCTATCTTAATTTTCTACTCTTTAATTTTCACCGTAAATTCGTCATTGAATATTCATAAATGCGCGAGAAAACAAAAAATAAGTGAAATTCACCGAATCAAGTTAAAAATTGACTAATTTATGCTTATAGTATTGAATGGTGTTTTTAATTAAAGCCTCTGTGTAAAGCAATACAATTAAACGAGTTTTGTTACTAATTAATGAATTCGTTTTTTTTTTCTTGAAATTTCATTTTCTCTTTAGTGAATGGTGGTTGGAGTGCATGGAGCCAATGGACAGAATGTCGATGCCCAGGCCGATCGCCAATTGGTCAAAAGCGTACACGAAGTTGCAATAATCCGATGCCATTGAATGGTGGTGCCACATGCAGTGGTCCCAACGTACAAAAAACTCTAGACTGCTTACCATGCCCAGGTAAAAATTGTTTAATTTTTTTTTTTATGTATTATACTGAGTATCCAAGAGTGTAACAACAATATATATTCACCCTTTATTCGCTCTATATGTACGAGATACGGAAATAATTGAATAATTTATATGCGTTTATGGTTTCTGCTGTTATTTTTCGATTAAAATGTCTAGTTTCTTCTAAAATGGGTATATTTGACTATAAATTATCGAGGAACTTATTAATTAAAGTGTTTAGCCATATCATATACACTAAAAATATATCCATTTTGTGTTCACAACGTCTAAATGGAAAGCCCATTTAGGGATACTAATTTACATATGTTCGGCCAAAAAACTTTCGATAGAAAGTGTTGTTTGCAAATTTTCAACAGCAATCATCCGTATTCCGTTCGACTATGTGTAACCGGTGTCGGTTGAAATAACATGATTGCAGATTGTGATTTGAAAATGTTGAAAAGTTCTCGTTTACATGCGAATTGAATGGGAACTTTTTATTAACTTTATTGCTTTTATTGCCCATTAGAACAATAGTGCAGCCGATTTTAGCAAACACACATTATATCGAAATGAAAACGAATAAAAAAGCACACCCTCACACACACACACACACACCCACACCCACGTTCGCATGAACGAAAAAGTGCATTGAATTTTGTGGTGAAAATAAATCAGACAGCTCGAATATATTCACCAATGGCAAAATGAAAGTTAGATTATGGCTAATAGTTTTGTATGAACAATTTCAAAATTTAGATCAAAGTGTAATTAACGTGTATGTGCGCCTGTGGGTGAATCACAAAACCCGAATGATAACAAGAAGAGAGAAAAGAATCCAAAGCGCACAAGTTTAATGGGAAAATAACGTAAAACAAATGTAAAGTTTAAATGAAAAATGAATGCAACTGAAAAAAAAAAACACCATCAGCACTACCACCACCACCACTACCGTTTCAGTACCGTAGAATAGTAGAAAACGAAGAAAGAACATTGTTGGCGTGTGGTTGGGAAAAATTACACACTAAACAAACCATTTAAAAGTACCATAAATAATATATGGTCGTCTCGATAACCGCAGAAAGAACGACAACCAAAAAGACTGCAAAACAATAAGCAACAGCAGCAACCAGCACCGACAAAAACACCACTTCAATTTCAATCGTCGTCATTCGCAAAAGAGTTGCGCATACTGGAAAAAGTGTAATGAATGAAAAATTGTCTGGTTGCACAATGCTAAAACCCATTGACGATTATATGCGATTACATTTATCCGCTCTTAGCTCATCACACCATGTTGTGCAGGTGAAAAAACGCATACACATAGAATCGTTACAAATGCAAAAAAAAAGGAAACATACATGAACTGAAATGCAAATACTCTGAAAAACACACGAAAAAAAACCTCCAACTATTGAATGAGTCAAGCGGCTCAAATAAATAAACATAAATGTTATCCATCGATGTCTACAGAACGACGACTATTCGAGACAACGAATACGAATTATGGTGATTTTGCATGTCGATCTAGTAAAAGCTTGCTTGTATGTTACGTGTACAATCAACAAACCAAAACACTTTATTTCGTTTTCGTTCATGAGATTTTGTTTGTATTTTTGTTCGCCACTAAAACCGATCAGCCAGGGTCAGTATGAAGAAAAGAGCAGAGAGGGAGAGAGATAGGAAAAATAAAAACGTTAATCAAAACCAAACTCTGAAACCGTAGCCAATATACGTAAACCAAGAGTGGCCGCCGAGTACACCATACCACATATTTACAATACAGTACTGAATATGGATGGGTGTGTGTGGCAACTGTGGCATAACGTTGGCAAATGGTAAACTCCCCACGTTTAGCTGTCAATTTGTCTGCATCGAAAATGAAATTGAAATGATTCCATGCTAAATGGCAGTGAAAATAGGTTTATGTCTATTTACCTTCGATTGTTGTTATTTTTTTTTAATACAATCCACTTTATGGATGATGTATATCATTGTAGCATACAAGCAAGAAGCACACACAATATAGTGCAAGTCCAAGAAAAGTACGCAATCAAGCACACATACGTAACGTTAACGAAAGAAAAAAAAACCCATAAACAATCCAAAATGAATGATGGCTCGAAACAATGAAACTGAACACTGTTCAAAGGCGATTCGAGAAAATAAATGAACAATTTCGAACAAGCAATAAAACAAGCAACCAAACGGTACAAGAGATTGTAATCGCGACACATCGTAAAATGGGTTGTTCTTGAACGCACCGAGAAAATTCAGAACATTCTCGCCCGACAATTCATGCCATACATTTTAGAGTGTCATAAACATCGACTGAACGAATGCAACCGTCAAATGATATCCATGTTTAACTCGTTCGCCCTTTCGCTCTCTGACCATATATAAGTGCGAGAACATAAATTTAATGCGATCATGAAAAGAAGAAAAACGTGCTAAGAAAACGATTTTCATTTAGACTCGGGCTGAGTCCACCGTTGCTCACAAAATAATCGAAAGTTTAATGAATAAACAAAATTGCGTTTGTATTGTATTGCCGAAGCAAATGGTGTGTTTGTGTGAATAGCATTAGATTTGACTTAGATAATTGTCGAGAAACGTGCATATTTTATCGCTATCGTAGACCAAAAAAACAACAACTTATTTTCCGGTATAACCAACCCCCCGATTGCTTCTTTATCCAATGCGCTAATTGTCTGCCATCGTCCATCGTCTTTCTGAACAATATATATACTACTGAGGAAAGTCAACTTCTTGCCACTCATTTTCATTTCACATATTGTTTTTGTTGTTGTTGTTGATGCGATCATCAGAATCGCACTAATTCGTTGTTAAATCCACACTTTGCCTAATATTTTGGTGCTTTCAATGAAACCGACATGGTTTCTATATTGTGGATCATTTTACTTAAACCCATTAGGTGTATGCATACGTTCATGATTGCATAAGGCTACCGGCTATCGAAGGATTTTACGTATCACATGAAAACGGACGAACAAGAGACCAAAAAAATGAATTATGAATAATATTGATAGGGTTCATATGCGTAGCGAGTTGTTTTGCCCGTATTGTAAACGAGAGTCGCATACGCAACAGTAATTCACTCACACCAAATAGAAAAGACCAAATTGAAACATTGCTATTGTATGCAAGCAAGCCTTTGAACAGTTCATTTTTTTTCATTTTTGCCATTGCTCTGGCCCGACAGTTCCTATGCAAATTGTCTGAACAATCATATTATAGTTCCTGCTGCCATCACGACGCGTACATGTTCTTTCCTTTTCGATTCCATATCCAACTTTTTTTTTGTCGTGCGTTGCGTTCTCTTTATTTCTATTTTATCCAAACTAGCAATTACTTTTTCATTCAATGTAACATCGCGATAGGATTTTTTATTAGATTTTTCAGTCGCACAGAAACATCAAAAAAAATAGAAGCAAGAGAAAATAGAAACAGAGAGAGGAGAGAGAGAGAGAGAGAGAGAGAGAGTGGCGACAACCTCGTCGAAACTACAACATTGGTCAAATCCGATATGATTGGGGTTGATTTTACATAATCTGTCGCCACAGAGTCATATTATACCATGTCGTTTAGGGCACAATCGCACGTCTACACACACACACTTGGGCTACACGCTAATAGTGACAATGAATTATTATGTTTGGATAAAATGCACCCGTTGGTTGAAAAAAGGGTTATTTTGTAATTATTAGTTTGTGCGTGCGTTTTTTCCTCCGTACATTCGCTAACTCTTTGTCTTTCTTGGTTTTGATTTTTATTTGCGTTGAACAGTTAGTTTTTGCTATGTACTCATAAAATATGCGGAAAACCATGTTCAACCTCACATCACCAAATCCATACCGAATTGATATTGAATGTGTGAGCGCGTATCCCGGAGCATTGTTATCGAAATCAAAATCGAAATTATATATTATATGAACTCATTCTGTTCAATTGATGGATATAATGTCTCCGGTTCATCGGTGAAGTGGTTTTAATTCACAGCAATGATGCATGCGACTGTAATTGTTGCCGAAATAATAATGGGGATGAATTGAACAGTACACACGGGGCTATTAGACACAAAACAGACATTAGCATTAAAATGGATTTTTCCAGATTAAACAAGATATCAATATTAAATTATCAGCACTTGAAGATCTAACTCGTTTTTGTGCTCAATTTTGAAACTGTAACGGCTGACTCTCTCTCCCTCTCACTCTCGTGTTCATTTGCAGTAAACATTTTAATCGATGTGATCGAACAATGAAATGTGTATTATGTGAACATGCCAAAGGATTATATACATTGTTCACATCTGTTTCAACTCGAAATCAATCTATTTGCGTTATACATCGTCTTGCAATCTATCACTGGTACAAAAGTACTCAAACAAACGTACATTTCATTTTCTCAATGTGCACAAATCATCAATCCTATGTAGAATTAGAGTCACGCATGCGAAAAATTTGTTCGCTTTGTTACTGCATACACATTTTCTCTCTCTATCTCTCTATCTATGATCAAAATGCATCCATCCCATACAGTCAGCGGATTCTAATTATATGCTCTTGAATTAATTACTCACGCACATTATTTTCAATAAATTTTTAAAAGTATTCGTATTTTGCATTAATTTTGTATGATTCATGTAATATGTGCAACAGCGTTGAATAAACATATATTTTGCATTGACAGATGAAACATGCGGAGCAAAGAGATACAATTTCAAAAAAAAAAAAAAAAACAGAGATATAAACACATACTCGAAAAAAAGACACCACCAACAAGTGCATAAAATAAAAACAATAATCGTTTGACATGCTTTTGCCATTAAACTTTCGTTTGTATGCAAATTAAATAGATTTTAAGTTGCAATAAAAATTAACACAAAACGACCGAATCGTGTCTGCATGTACTCATGCCAAACACACATTCATTAAATCACTACGCACTATGAACGAACGAAATGAATGGACGAATGAACATTTGAGCACTGAGCTATGCAGAAAAAACACACACACACACCAAATCGAAAGCACTTTTCTTAAAACATCGTATTTTAAAACTGTGTCTGTGTAAATTGTACATTTTGCATACCGCGAGACTTGATAAATTGCAATCGTGCCAAACTTTTATGTGTTCATTCGCTTTCGACAACAACCGTATATAGTTATGTCAACGATCACTTATTTTGGCTTCATACCATAATAATTATAGTTTTGCTTCTCAATTTTTTTCTTCGCTACTTAAAATATTCTTATTTGTTTTTTTGCAACCAGATCGATGCTTCACTTAATCAAGATCTTTTTTCTTCCATTTCGCGCTCAATTTAAAGCATGCAAAGCGTTTTAAATGAATAAAAGTGAAAACAATTTGAGCAGAGAGTGAGAGAATAAACGTCACTTTGGTATGGGGGGAAATTGTTTATGATTATTGCTTGCTTTGAACATATACTAAATCGCATTTTGTTATTCGTTTGGCGCGTATGGTCTAAGGTAGCATTTATGCATATCCGTGATCCGAACGATTCAACAACTGTCAATTTTGCCAATCGGCTGCACAGTAATTAAATTTAATAACACAATCACATATATTTCTTTCTTCTCCGCAGAAGAATTGATATTTTTCTTATTTGCAATCATGAATATGCACGTATACACCATGCAATAGAATAAATTAAAAAAAAAGAAAACGGTCATAGACCGCGAAAGCCGATTGTCTCAAGTTCAGTTCAATTAACCCATTGTCATGACATTTTGTGCAATTAAAATGATAAATTGCAAAATAAAGCGTTTATATTTAAATCTGATTGTTTATTTATGATTTCCGTCAGTCTGCATTGAAAAATAAATGGCTAGTTCTTTATAATTTGCAAATGAAAAATACGAAGCAGAAGGATTCAATTCACTTTCCGTCATCTTGTCAATTCAATCAAAAACATTTTAAAATTCATTCGCAATTTTTTATTTTTTTTCTCTCTTTTGTCATGGAACAACTGATACTTACGTAGCATTTTTTTCATTCATTTTTTTTTCTTTATCGTTGCCGTTTTTCGTTTGGTTTGGTCATTCAGAGGATATTCAAATTGTGAACCCGGAGAGTTTCGATCTATTGATGGGAGGTGAGTAGCATGAAATGATTGAATGGAAATGTAGAAAATTGTTTGCAAATTCATCATAAATTCCGTACATTATTTTCACATTCTTTCGGTCGATTATTATTATTATTCAACTTTTTTCTTCTTTTTTTTTTTTAAATACACACATTCTTTGGCGAATAGAACCCGAAGAAAACACAATAGAAGTTGATACTTTACCTTTTTTTCCTTCGCCATTCTATGGCATTGAATCGTTTTCGAGTTTACAATGAGAGAACAATAACAACAACGACAACAAGAATTGCCCGAAGCCAATATTAACTTTTTATAACGGACATTCAACGTTTTGCTTGCTTTTCATTTTTCTTTTTTTTTAAATGCATAATTTTCAAATTCTTTGTATTGACAGTTTAGTGTGCGCACCCCTTCTCAATGAGGCCGCGGTTATGCGGTATTGCTTTCAAATTTTTCGTTTTTACAAATACGATGGAGCCAATTTATTTCGACGGTACGTCGTCAAACGCTCCCTTAACTCATTTCTTCAATTTGAAAAGTGCGTGTTTCATTATCATTTCCCATGTTTTGTGTCTGCAAAGTTTCTTTTATAAAAAAAAATTCTTTTTAGTCTTACATTTTGCCAAAGAATGTTAAACAAAATAAAACCACCACAAAGTACATTGAAATGAAGTTTATAATTTTTCCCGATTACACGTGGAAATGTGGTTACACCCATAATAAGAAAAGTCCATACGTGGTGCGGTTTCTTCGATGAGAGGAGAAAGAGAGCAAACAACAAATAAAAGAAAGTCTGGCCGCAAAATATACACGCTTAATTTCCGCGAATTGATTTATACTACAATTTAAATAATAATCAAAATGAATGTTCGACAAGCTATTTAAAATTGTGGATACATTTTAATGTTTATTATTTTGAAATTGGCTGCTTTAGCGCGTTTGTTAGCTTGACAACCAAGTATTTCAATTTTGACTGTTTACAATTGAACCACAGGGGAACAACATGTTAGTGTTGTTTTTCATTTTTCCATTTCACGTCTCTCATAATGTCCAGTTGAACGTCCATAGAATCCAACCAATCAGCATGCAGTTTAAAACTTTCCATGCATGGGTTCTCTCAAAATTGAATCAAGTTCAACATGAATATTTCATTTCGCCATATTCAACTCAAAAAAGCTTTTGAATACTCTCACACGACCCAAACAAATGGTCAATCAATATTTAATGAATGGGACGTGTTTTTTACAGCATTTTTAATGAAAAATATTCGTTCTATTTTTCATGCCAATTTTTTTGTTGTTGTTATTGTCTACATTGTCGTCTCCGTCCGTCACTAAAAAGACACACGATAAAAACCATTTCAAGTTTTACCATTCCGATGAATATTAACAGCGCATTTTTGTCGCGCGATAATTTTCGTCGACTGCATTTTGAATTAGCCAACAAAAACCACAATCGTTAAAAAAAAAAAATGTGATGACATTATACGCCTGTTTTTGTGAAAATGGTGCAAAATAGAAGTGGTGCAAAACATTTTGAATGCAAACACACAAAGTGTCTCGTTTGCTTTTTAAAATGTCATTTTTCTTGTCGTGTGCGGTTCGTTCATTTTTCTTGGTAGAAAATTTCTTTTATGATGATGTTGATGCGCACGCTTTTCATACAATTGTCTCCGGCTCACGAAAATCGCCATTAACAAACACGATGCTTGTAAATGTCGGTAAATGTGTATCTGTCAAAAAATTATGAAAATGTGTCCACCGACAATGTGAGCGCGCCCATATGTGGAAAAAACGAACAGAAAATTCATTTATTATTAATAGTGTGGCATTTTGTGCGATGTACCCATTTATAATTCGGAATAAAGTATGTGCTGAGTTTTTGTGTCTTTTTTTGCGTTCACATGTTATAACGAGATTCATTTTATTTTGCGCCTTAGTAAGCAAAAGGTATGAATTCTTCGCTTTTTCATTTGCAGTCTTGATTCGAATTTGTGTTTTGCTATCTTTTTATTACATTTGATAATAATTATGGTGAATTTCTCAAGCGTTCACGCGCGCATACTTTTTTTCCGCATTCCAAACATTTTATAAGAGCGTTTTTTTTGTTGATCAACGAATTCATTAAATTTGCTATACTATTTTTGTCCTGATTTCAATTGTCGTTTTTACGTACTTTTCTATTTATTTATGGAAGTGGCACGGATGCGCACACGCGCGTTTGATAAACGTGCTGATAAAAACACTCTTTCAAATGGAAATTCAGACATTTTCACATAAAATCCAAGCCACACAACTCCACATAAATGGATCAACATCAAATGAACAACAAGAGACTCAAGCGCGCGCATTAAGAAAGCGTTGCAAATAAAAATGGACAGCAATTTAATTGAACTTCAATGTGAAAAATGAGCGCTGGTGTAAAACTTGTTCGTGAGACGCTTTGCAAAAGATTAATTGGTCTAATTGAATCGGAGATAAAGTAATTGTTGATGACCAAATATGTCGATTGAACTCGTTTTAGTTTTGCTCGAGTTTTTTTTATTCTGCTCGTGTCTCGTTTCGTTATCATGTAGTTTTATAAATTAAAAGCACATGAAATAAATGCGAAATGGAAGACGTAAATGGGCTTCTGTTCGAAGTCCTATCATGTTCATCACCGAAATTGACATTTATCAATTTAATCATTTATCAATCTAATGATGTGCAAGAGTCTTATTTAGAACATTAATATCACATTTGATTTGCAAACAATGAAGATGTATGATGATGTGTCCATTTCAATTTCAATTTAATAACATATGTCCACTTAAAATTAGTTTGAGCATTGAAATCAAAATGAAAAATCATTCATTCAATACGTATACGTTTTTGCAGTTCATAATGTGACCAGCAAGAATCAACCGAATTTCATGTACGGAAATACTCTGGCGGCCGGATGCCGTGGCGGAAATTGTAGCATTGTCAAAGAAGGTAAGTTTCCGATAGAATTCATCTTCATTCAAAGAAGAAGAAGAAAAAACTGGACAGCGAGAATAAGATCGATTTCAAAAGACAATATTCATGTTGTCGTTTGACCGAAATTCAATCAAAAATCCACATTGTGCTTCATGCTACTTCATACAAATATGAAATAACTATTGTTTGTTGTTGCCGCAATTCAATTTATTGCACAATGTGTGCTCAATTTCAATTACACGATCGCTTCTGATCAAACAATATTACTTCTTGCGCTGAAAGAAACGTTTTCTTCTCAAGTATTTTTTTTTCACTTCACTATTGACTTTTTTTCAATGTAAACAAAGGAAGTGCTGGCTACAATTAAGTTCATTGAAAGTAGTTCAAATCGATTCGTACAATTTGATGAGAAACAACTGATTTCGAAAGAATGGCTGTCATCGTTGCTGTGTGTGTGTGTTATTAAATGTTTGTAATTATTTTAAATTTATCATCGTACCGTCATAACTTGGCTCGTATTATTCGAGAGAGAGAAAAAAATTCACACAATTAGGCCCTTATGATGCGCAGACAATCGTTTTCGCCGCGTTCATCCTTTTTTTTTCGGTTGTTGTGTGCAGTTGTTCCCGGTCTCTCATTTATTATTTCATCCGCATTCAATTGGCACACACACAATTAAATTAATAATAATCTGTCGAAGTTGCGTTTCATTCGGTCTGATCGTCGAACTCCACACTGAGTTGATAATAAAAAATGATGATTATATCAATAGTAATAATTGTCGAGCCTGTATGCAAGCGTGCGTGTGCGTCCGTGAATTGCTGCACAACTTCAATTTACCCGAAACAGACACATACAGAGAGAGAGGGAGAAGGAGAGAGAGAAATGTGATACTATAAATCCAAATAAAACCATTAAATAAATGCTCTGTAATCGAATTGAGATATTAATCACGGTCCAACTACATTCGAATTAAATTATTTATTGAAAATTATGAAAATGCACCACAGCATAGGCAAATGAACACAAGAATTCTACATGGACAGACGTATAGTATTAATAGATGAGCAAATAAAGACTAAACACACTCGGCCTGGTCTGTGTTATTTGATAGAGTTGTTCGACGCGTGCGAAAGAGATGTAGAGATAGAATGATCGAAAAGAATAAACAAAACACCCGCATTTTATGTGAGTAAACAACAACTGTGACAACAAAAAACCAAATCTGCCGATTGGATATGGCGAAATCAACATGGGATATAAATGAGAACGATATGATTTAAATGTTGAATGGCTTGTTTTTTTGTATGTTGATATGTGTACGAAAATTCATGGGCTTCAGCAATTTGTTAAACGCTTTTAAGCAAATGTAATGCACGATTATCATTATGATTATTAAATGTTGAAAAACACTCATGTAAAAATATGTTCGCATTGGCAAAATATCGTATCGACACAATACTAAATGCACACACACATACACAATTTTATCCTAAAACGACAACCATTGTCGTACATCGAACAATTGACATGCATCGTTTTTTCCTCTTGCAAATTTAAATGTTTCGTTCCCGTAACCATGTGTTGATAAATTGAATATATTGTGAACACAATTCAGGCATTTTAACAGAAACGGGAGAACGGATGATCTCAACATGAACTCAGTTATTTAAATCATTTGCAAACTATGGTAATTACACGCTACAGAGAGAGAGAGAGAGAGAGAGAGAGAAAGAGCAAACGAGAGTATTTCAAGGATAGTGGCTTAATGGACGCGCGCGTTCATGATCAACAAATCAAAATCATCAACATCATAATTTTCATCACAAAAATGCACTCAATATCTCAATGCTGAACACATAATAAATTCATTGAAGCGAAATGCCGTACGCCGTTATTATTCAATTTAGCATACATTATAATGGTTTATGATGTGGATGAGTGTATACTCACTCAGTCCCATTACTCGCTTGCTTTCAATATATAACTAGTAAAATGGCTTTATTTGTGATTCAATAGACTCCATATAAAATAAATACACACAATAATTTCGGGCCACTTTTTTTTCTCTCTTCATTCACCATTTCTTTATTTATTGATAAAAACGCATAATTTCAACCAATTCGTTAATAATGTCTATATTATTATTATTGAAGAGTTAAAATGTGTGCGGACAATGTTTTTGTGAAACCCCCGCAATGTACGAGACAATTGCTTGAACGACGTTTGATATTTAAAGATGTGTGTGCGTACATTTCTTAATATAAATTATAAATTATTATATACGTATATACCATTTTTCGTCAATTTAATGGCAATTCATAATGTTTGACGTTAATTTTTTTTTTCTCTCTTCCGTTCACAATTCATTTCGGGAAAATAAAAATTTAATTGTTTTCATAAGCGAAATAATTAATTGATTTTAATAAATATATATATATGTCCATTGAAATGCGGTCTGAGAATAAAATGTGTGACACTTTTTGCATCTGATTTGAATTGATTTCGGTTTCGAAATCAAAAGAAAAACCAGCGTGTACTCGTGCACGATCGCCGAATAAATAAATGAAATGCCATAACCAAATATTTGGGTAAAATTGAAATGTAATCAGTGAGTACATTGGTTTGTTTTGATTCAAGTGTGCCTATTATCATCATCGCTTAAAAAATAGTGTGTGCGTGTGTTTGTATTGAAATTTTAAAATCTACATCATTTTTCGAAGCTAAATTGCGCCGTAACGGCGATGGCTATGCAAATATTGTTGCATAATTGGCCAAAAAATTCAATTCAATTTAATTGAAACACACGCATACGTATATTCGATTTCATGTTATATATATTTTCGTTGGCCGACATTTCATTTTCATTAAAGAATCGAATTTGATTTGTGTGATTGGGTTTCAACTCATTTAATTTATGATTATGAATTGGAAGGGAATTCAAAGCAATGCGAGAACAACAGACAATGCCAACAACAATGGAATACAACACACAGAGATAAAAAAGCACTATTGATTAATTGAAATATGCAGCCGTATATCGTAAATTACGACGCGGGGAGCTTCAATTGGTTTATATGCGACGCTCTTTTCCCCCTACAAATCGAACAGTTAAAAATATTACTTCCATACACTTAGCGTCAATTAATGAAATTTACAGGTTCGAATGGCGCACATCACTATTTTTTTGTTTTGTTTGTGTGTATGTATCTCATTTCCATCCGATAAATTAACAGCCATGAAAATTCATAATAATCGGATGCATGATTAATATATAGTTTATCGATTGTTAATTGAATACGCTTTGATTGTGCATGCTGATTGTCATAATGAACATTTAACATCAACATGCGTTGCCGAAATAAAAATGTGTCTACAACTCTCATAGAGAGTCGGTTTGAGGTCTCAATTGACGTTGAATAAATTAGCTGGAGGGCAAAAAGTCGTGCGCTTATATTAAAGTGCGCGATGTCTTGGAAGACAATACACGCGCTGCAAGTGAAGTAATTATTTATGCAAAGTTTAAATCGAAAATGGAAGGAAAGCAAAGAAAAAAAAAGAACAATATATACTGAAGAACATCCAACAAAAATATATTTTTTTTTTCTTTTCTAGTTATGACAGAATGCGATAGAAGTTGGTTTTTCTTTTCCGTTTTTGTTTTGTCTCAAAGAAATGTGTTTTTCTATCTTCTCTCACTCGATGTTCATCATCGAAGTCAAATAGTCTCTGTGCACGAATAGTCAAGATACCACCACCAACCTATTTTTGTCGAATCTTTTGTTCTTCGATAAACTTTGGTGTTTTTGTGTGCCTTAATTCACTCATAATTGAAAATTCAGCATTAAAACGTGTATTTATGTATATAAACTCTCGCGTTAGCTCTGTTGGTTAACGCGCACGAGAGTGAATAAATTACATAAGTGTTATACAGCTGCAAGCCAAAAATATGTCTATATAAAGTTCAATTGAAGCGAAACACGATCGACGAGGCCCAGCAGACAACAAATGATGCAATGAACAAACGGCACGGTGTGTGTGATACAATAAATTTGACTTGATTATTACTGGAAATTGATAATTACAGCGCATTCGAATTCTTTTTTTTTTATTGTTGTTTTTATTTCGTTGACGCAGAATGAAAACCCATAAAATTTTACATATTTAACAATTATTCATGTTATGACTTCCAGTGAAATTGAAATGGCGACAATGTCGCGAGGCACAAAATGTGACGTCTAAGACGTTGAGAAGAATTTTTTAAATATAATAATCATCATTTTCATTAAATTCAGGCGTGAACAGAACGCTCAACATTCCTCTCATTTTTGTGTAATTAATGAATTACCTATTGCATCGTTCTGTGAAATCCCGAGAAAGATGTTGTGTTGAAGTTTTTGGATTCAGCAAATAAAGTCGAGAAAAAAACACGAATTTTCAACACTATTTTTTCGTTACATATCTAATGATTAAATTTCGTTTCAATGAATATCCTGCATTTTTGTTTACTTTTCTCGGTTTCTCTTTCATTCACAGCGAAAGATGATTTCTGTGTCATTACACTTTATCACTTTTTATTTTTAAATCGCCGTTTCCAAATCGGAAACACACTCGAACAACAAAAAAATAAACATTACTTCAAAGGATTATACATTTCAACATCATTTAGATATTGTCTGATAAAATGAAATCAAAAAATTTCCTTCGTTTGACTTTGAACATGAATGATTACGTCTCAATTGTAATGCCATTTTTATGATTACCATATCTTTCATTCACATCATTCTCACACTGTTGTTTCGTCTCACGTCCCGACATCGACGAATTTAAAGTGAAAAACACACTCTATTTTAAATGGCTGTCAAAATGAGCACACTGCTTTTTTCAGATGCACAAATATTTCAAAATATAAAACAGCGATTCACACACAAAAAAAATATCTCGAAACATTAAAAATACCATAGTTCTGAGAGTTTTTTTATTTTGTGTGATTGTCATTTGTTTGGCTCATTTGA